ATATATAATACATATAACAAATGAAATTAAAAGAAGGTGGAGAAATTCTTCACAAAAAATGTTTTAGTACTCACCTTCTTTTAAACCCCTAAACTTACCTCCCCAAAGTAGAGTCAAGCAAAAATAATTAAAGTTGCTTCCAACTTTGTTATCCCTAATTATAAAGCACATGCTAGAAAATGAAAAAATTAAATTATATATTTTTATTTTATTTTAGTATTTTATTTTTTAAAATTTTAATTTTGTTCCTTTATCTCCTAAATTTATATTTATTTAGTCCTTTTAAAATAGTGATTATTTTTAGTTTTGAGAGATGGTTTTGAATCTTTTATTAATTAATTCAAAAATTAAAATTTATCTCATTAGATTTATCTACATAAAAATTATGAAATTTAATTAATGTTCAATTAAAAAAAATTATATAGTTAAATTTTTAGAATTATTTTTGTTACTTTTTATATTTATTTATATGTAATTTTCATTAGATTTTTAACACTTTTCATTTGAACTTTAATTCTGTTAAATAATTTTTATATAGATAAATTTAAATACACAAATTTTAAGTTTTAAATTAGTCAATAAAAGATATAAAATCATCTCTCAAAATTAAAAATAATTATTATTTCAAAAAAATTAATTAAATTCATATTTTAAAAAATAAAAAATTAAGATAAATTTTAAAAAATAAAATAAAAGTATAATTTAATCAAACATTTGATACGTTAACAATAGTTAGGTTATTTCTTTTATGGTTGGTACTAACAGGAGTTAGGTCAAGAGAAAGTTACTAATTCCTGAAAAAAGAAACATTTATTATCTCTGTTAAATACCTAAAAATAAAAAAAAAGAAATTCATTAATAATTTGTATTAATTTTGCATAAATACATTGACAAAGTCCACAAAATAATAAGTACGGTAGACCTGACAAAATTTTCTCCCATCAACGCAACTAACTACCACACTTTTCCTAATTCTTGGTTGATTTTATGATTGCGTCAAAAACAAAAATGAAAGTCCTCCCTTTTTTTCATTTTTATTTTATTTTATTTACCTAATCCAATAACAAACCAATAAAGGAGGAGTAAATTTTCAATTTTTATTTTTAATTTTTAATTTTTAATTTTTTTTTTTTTTTGGGGCATGGATGCTTCTTTTTAAAGTTGAAAGGTGAAGCCATCTTCCATGTTCACCCGCCGCCTGTAACAAGAACAAGAAGAGCAAGAGAGAGAGAGATAGAGAAGAGAGTAGAATACAACATTTTGATGCTTGTTAAACATAGAGGCAAACCCAAAAAGCATCTTCTTCATCTTGATCAAAGTCCAAACCCCATTTTGTGTCACATAACAATCCTAACCACACAATCCCTCCAAGTGTTTTTCCCATTTGTGGGTTGATTGAGCCGTTTTTAGAGGCAGCAAGTGGATATTTCCCTCTCTTTGTTGGGGGGCTATAAAGAGAAAGGCTTTGGGGCCAAAAGGGGGTTGGTTCCCAGAAAAGCAGTGAAAGGAAGAACCTTGTAAACCCCGTCATTGTGAACAAGGTTCCTCATTATTCTCTCCCTTGTGGGGTTCTTCAAAGTTCCAACCTTTTTCTATTTTTTCCCATTTTCCTTTGCTTATGATATCTATGTGTGTAGTAGTAATGTAATATGCCAGATAGCTATCTTATCCGAACCACCCCACTTACTAGATACCGCCACTCTTGCATTGTTTCCTTCTTGTACTGTTGTTGTCATCATTCATAGTTTTATCAGAGGGCTAAAAGGGGTTAGTGGGTCTCAGTATAAGTACTAGTACTTGAGTGGTGGTGTTATTGGCACTATATTTGCATGTGTCTGTTCTTATGCTCCTAGGTTGTGTTTTGGAGGTTTTTGTTTTCTCATAGTGCTCATTTCAGGGGGCTTGTTCTGCCTTTGTGCATTGGACAAACAGCAGAGGAGTTTCACTGTCCAACTTTAAGGGTGGGAAAAATGAAGTATGTGTTGGTGACAGGTGGTGTTGTGTATATTTCAGATTTATAATAAATTTTATATTGTGACAAAATTATTTTGAATTATTAATAATTTATTTTCTAATATTAAAATTTAACTATAAATAATAATATTTTTTTAAAAATCTTTCTTAAAATAAACTGATAAAAACGTTGACAAGTGCAGTCTTGTAGGGATTTTTTATTTTTTTTTTTGTTCCTGAAGTATCCACCACCAATAACAGTTATATTAGAGACACTTTAAAGAATGAAATAGTTGACCCCAAAATTTAACGCGGGCCGAAACGTAGGGATTTATTTCCTCTGATTTAATTAACGTAAGCCGTTGTAATTTGTCTTCAAAAGCTTTCTAGTTCAATAGCCACTCCATTTCTGATTCTATGCGTGGCAACACGTGCATCTCAGGAAATCTTGCCCCACGGATAATACCCCCAATAATAATCTATGTGGCTCCCAATTTTTCTCTTCAATCTCCATAATTCATAAAACAAAATCCTACATAACATACAGTACACTGTAACATACCAATACGCCAAATTCGAAAACTCCTTCATTTTCAGAGAGTAGAGTCCCAGAATGTTGGGTAACTATCGAGTTATTGATCATGTAATAAGTTAAGTAACATTATTTTATATTAATAAATATTTTAATATGACATTATATTTATTAAATTTAAGAACCTAACTATAATAAAGTATAATTATATATATATATATATATATCAACTATAAATTATTTGAATTAATTAATATGAGATTGTTTCACTTTAATTATTAATATCAAATTCGAGTCTAAAATAAACAACTATATGTGAAATATTCAAATAAGAAAGCCTGTTACTTATAATAATTATATATGAGTCAAATAATATTGTGTATCGTAATAGATATCTGTAATTTTAAACAGAATAAAAATTTTCTTGTACAATATGATAATTAATTTTTATAATAATTTTAAAAACTCTATATAAAATAAACTTTAATTAGTTAATATATAGTGTAAAAATTCATTACACTACCAATACCTAAAAAGTAAACTCTAAATTTAATCAAATATATTTCTAAAACATAAAAATTCGAGTTACATAATAACTATACTTTTTTGTATGCATACTTTTGAAAAATTCGGTGTACACACGGTATATGTATTATATAGTTTGATAATTGAGGTGATAAGGAAGTATATTCTAAGCAAAGATTGATGAATGTGAGAATGCATGTAAAGTGCATTAGCACCGTTAAATTATGAATAAACTTTTGAAACGATGTTGATGTTGGGATTTGTATCGATCAGATTCTCCTTCCACCTCTTTTCACGGAGAAACTTTTCATTGGTTTGTTCCACAAAAGCAATCTGTAACCGTAGAATCAAAGATAAAAAGGTCTTGTTGTTCCATTCCATGGTCATTCATTCACACCAGACAAATAAGAGTTTTCAACAAAGGGTGTCTCATGAATCAACACTTGGCAACCTAAATTACCCCAACAAAAAAAAACAAAGTTCATGTTGTTGTTAGCTTTTGCTTCCGATTATTTTTTTATAATCTTGTTATTGATACGAAATATTTATCATTTTTGTCAATAATTAATCTGTATCAAAAAATATAGTTAATTAAATTTAAAGAATTTTGTCTTAATTATTAAGATCGATCTAGTATTAAGATATTAAAGTAGTAGTATACATAAGATTATATATTTGAACTCTTACATTAATGTAATTCTGATAGATAAAAAAATCTCACATCTTAATTACATTTTTTTTAGGCAAAAATACATTTTTCATCCCTTATATTATTTATTAATGTCAATTTAGTTTCACTTTAATTAATTTACGTTGAGTGAGTTGTTGTGCTAAATAGAAATGTGTTGAATATGTGGTTTGTTGTTAAAGTTACTTTATGTTATGTGTGAACTATTTATATGTTGTGAAACATGATGAGATGATATAGTTGTGAGTTGTGAGAAACATGATGTGAAGTGTGTAGATGTGTTGATATTTATACAAAATTTATTAGTAGACTGTGTTGCTAAGTCGTTAGATGAGAGTTGTATGTTGTTATAAAGTTGTATGTTGTACTATGTGTTGAAAAGATATTACTTTACGATGATTGAGTTATAAATTATGAGTTAAGCTTTTAAGTTGTTGAGTTGACTGTGTTGTTTAAAGTTGAAATGAGTTGATAATTGAGCTGATGAAATGATAACTATGTTGTTTAAAGTTGAAATGAGTTGATAGTTGAGCTAATGAGATGATAACTATGTTGTTATGCCATGATGATGAGTTATTGATCACTAGGACTAGGAGAGATGTTTTTGAAGTTGTTCATCCCATTATGTGGATTAGAGTGTTGTGGTGCTCTAAGAGCCCAATTTGTTAAAAAACCCTCCTTGGGAAGTTGTCCCTTGGAGTGAATGATGTGTTGTTCTCCTATAGGACTTAGTTGATCCTGTGTGTGGGCAAGGTCGAGGCACACCTGTATAGGGGCCAGGTCGAGCTATACTGATTACAAGCGGCTAATTCGAGTAAAGTACGAAGTCAGGAACTTAGTTCCTAACCAAGTATCGGAGGGTTGTAGTATTTGGAGGATAGTTAGTAGGCTAATCCCATATGTGGCTTAGTTGAGCTAGCTAATGCGGTGGTAGGCCTAAACCTAGTTGTCATATCCTGACATAGTACTATATTTTATTGTTTTGCTTTCTCCCTGACTCTCTTTAATGCTGCTGTAGACTTAATCTCCTTCAGTAACATCTTGTTTGGAATCTATCCTCCGCTTTTTGTTGTTCTTCTCATATACTCGATTGGTGGGACAGCTATCAGTGTTTTCCTTGGAAGGGTAAGGAATCTTCCAATCTTTTCAAAATGATAGTTTAAATTGTCAGGCAAAACTCACCTGTCTCCCAATTCCCAAATGACTGAAAGGACATTTAAGCTAGTTTCATTTTTATTAATTGGATGCTGTGAATATGTCAGGGACTGGTGACTTTAAATTTCTTGCAAGAGAAAAAGGAAGCAGACTTTCGTTATGGACTTGTACGGGTTCGGGAAAATGCTGAATCAATTGCTTTCTATAGTGGTGAAGAAAGTGAAATGCAACTTCTTCTGCAGCGCTTCAAAAGTGCTTTTGAAAATCTGACTGTAAGATATTCCTTTTTTATTATGTATATTATGTTCTCAGTATCATCATGTTTACCTTTTTTACTTTAAAACTATTTTTGTACATTATGTTGTCAGTATCTATGTTCATGCCAATTGATTTCTTGAGTTTTATTGCATATGTTTCTCACACTTATATTGCTAGATTTTGTATTATCAACATAAGCTAAGCAGCATTTAATGTAAAAGAATGCTGCCCTGTCTGTTTTCTTTTTTCTTGTTTGAAAAACTAGATCTATATAAATTATATTGATTTCAATCTATAGGTAGTTAAAAGAATATTACATTTGAAAGCTGTATAGCTATGTTGGCTGACAAGATTTTGGAAATTGTGAAACTCTATTTAATACCGATGTAAAGTTGTTGCTGCATTGCTTCTTTTTCTTTTTTACGTTATGTAATGCAGTTTTATCCTCTAACTTGTAATAAGGTGATGCTGAATGGTGTTGCTTATTATTTCTTTACAGGAATTGTTGATTGCTTCTCGAAATCTGGATTTCTTCACCAGTGGCTACCGCTATGTCATTCAAGTTCTTCCAGCTGCTGTTGTTGCCCCCATGTATTTCTCAGGAAAAATTGAGTTTGGTGTCATCAATCAGTCAGTTTCTGCTTTTAATCATATCCTTGGTGACTTTTCCCTCATCGTGTACCAGTTTCAAGCTATAAGTGCTTTTTCTGCTGTTATTAATCGGTTAGGTACAACAATCACTTTCCCTTCTATTTCCTGTTACACTTTTAATGTATGCCAATCTCAGGAAAGATATGGACTAAAAACTTATTTTCAGATTCATTTTTGAATCTTTCTTTAATTGATTCAAGATGTGAAACTTATCTCATTAGATTCACTTCCATACTATTTAATTCAACTGATGTTTAAACCAAAAAAATCATAAACATGATGAAAATTGTGTGAAAATGAGTATAATGAGTAATCGAAAAATTTTAAAAATCTAAGTTCAGATTATTTTATGGTTGCTCATAGGATTTATATTTCACACGATTTTGACCATCTGTATAGCCCTTTTGTGTTCAAATATCAATTGGATTTCATAATTTTCATGTTGGTGAATCTAATGGAACAAATTTCATATCTTTAATCAATTAAAAACGATTCAAAATAGTGTTGCAAAATTGAAGTCGACCATTGTTTGAAAAGGACAAATCAACCCAAATTTAAAAGATGAAAGACCAAAATTAACAATTTTAAGGATAAAAGACCAAAATGAATGTTAAAAATATGATAAAGAATGAAAAGTATAATTTAGCCAATGATATGAGCATAAGTGAATGAACTATGAGGGTTTACTTTGCAGAAAAAGGGAAATTCATTTTGATATAATTTGGGGTTATATTTGCATAAACAAATAAAAGATCCCAGAAAAGGAAAAGAAAAGTATTACTCTGCATTAAAGATGTTATTTGTGAGTCAACCTACTATAACTGTCCTTATCTGTGTTACTTTCCACCCTCCATTCCTCTTTTTTTCTTTCTCTCCCTCTCCCTCGTCTTTTTATGCACTGCCGTTCATATTGCAAGTAGTCATACACTACTATCTTTGTCATATTTATCTGTTCTATCTGTGGTCTTATATATGCTTCTGAAACTCCCTTTTATCCACCTATGCGTGTATGTATGCTTGACAGGCTAGGTTTGTTGCTTTGAATATAAAGAACACCTTCGACTAATATATATATTGTATTGCATGTGCAGGTGAATTTGATGATATTTTGGACAGAAGCAGCTCTAACTCTCTCACTGATACTTTGGAAGACATAAGTATTACATATAAAGATTTTAGGAGTTCATCTGCATTGGAATCTAATGGATCCACTCCACCAGAAAAATATGCCACATTACTTGAGGTAGAAGATTTGATTCTGAAGACACCAAGTGAATCTACACTTATCAGAGACTTGTCCTTAACAATCAAGGAAAAGGATAATTTACTGGTAAGATATCCATTGGTCCCTCACTCATCAACAGCATATTAAGTTTAGGTTTGTGTTGCTAAGTTCATAAGATTGTAGGACTATACAAATTACAAATGCACTTCTTGATATAACCACATTGACAGGTAATGGGTCCAAGTGGAAGTGGCAAGACTTCTTTTTTAAGAGCTATGGCTGGTCTATGGAAAACTGGAACTGGAAAGATCACATACTATGTAAAAGGTGGAGAAGATCTTGAGCAATCCATTTCTGCAGATGTGAATACTCCTTCAGTAAATATTGCTCATGACGCATACAAAGAACATAGAAAATACTTAGGCAGAAAATCTGGAATTTTTTTCCTTCCACAAAGACCATATATGGTTTTGGGTACTCTTCGTCAACAGTTGCTTTATCCAACTTGGGCTGATGACGTAGTTCCTACATCAGATAGTACTAACCAAAAAAGTATGTGATTTCTAGTTTCTTTTCCCCCCAAACCTGAATATATTGCTTTTAGTTCTTATTCAAACTCCATATTTTTTTTTAATTAAAAACAGATGTCTTATATTGTTCTCTATTTGTCTACATCTCACTTGCTCTATTGCAATATTAGACTTAAGACAAGAATACCTGTAGTTGTGGGTCTAACATAGGTGATGCTAAAATGACGAGGGATGTATTTCTTTTGGGGAATGCCAAAAATTGCCTTGTAGTTTATTGTGGAAGGCTTTATATATAAAGGAAAGGATTAATTTAAAAGAAAATTTAGATATTGGAAATATGAAATTATATTATCTTTATGCATGTTAGGTCACAGGGATTTGAGATAGAAAGATTTACAGAGAAAACTTGGAAAAGTGATATTATTATATGATACATCAGTGTTTATATAACTTCGAATAGTTCTTTTGAACATGCAAACCATGAAGAAACTTTTAGACAATTATTAATATTTTAACTGCCTAAACAAAGATAATCTAACAGTTAAGCTAGCCTAACCAAAAGCATTTGAATTTTCATCAAAGAAACATCTCTTGAAGTGAACTTTCACTGATCTCAATGAAATGAAGCTGTAGCTGTCCAGAATCTTGCAAAGATGGTCCCTTTTAGTTCTTTCATAGCTGTTAGACAGTTGATCTTGGTTGTTCTATGGGAAATTAATACTTTACTTTTTTGTGAGGATCAACTCTGGTCCATAAATATACGTTTTTAAGTATGTGTTTCCCCTTCAAATAGAATTCAGATTTTATAATCAAGTGAACAAATACAATCAAAATGATCAATTCTGTGCATTGACATTTAGGTTTAAACAATTTCTAATCGAGAAATTATACTTCATTTTTTTTTTCTCAAGAGGATTGTCTTACCAAATTGTTATTAAAGAACCGAGTTAATCAAACAACTCTGAAAATAAATACTATTAGTATTATGAGTAAATTACACTCTCCGAAATTTCATGAAATTGCGCAAATAACCCCTACTATTTCTACCTCTACAATAACCTTCTTGTTTGAAAAATATTATACACTAGTAGCCTTTATACTTTACTTTACTGTAACCCGTTTAATTATTTAAAAAAATTACATTGTGACTCTCTATAAGGGATTAAAGTAAACCTTAAAAAAGTAGAGGGTGTTAGTGCAATTTAGTAGAACATCATAGGGTGTCAGTATAAGTTACTCTAGTGTCATCTAATATGATTAAATAGAAAAATCCTTTCTTATTTACATCACTGTTATTTATTAGTAGTTTGACTGTGCAAACTTTGCTAATTGAATATTAAAAATTGGTGTGCAGATGTGCTTCCTTTCTTGACAAACATGCCAAACTCAGATAACATGAATGATAAGCCTATGAAGCCAACAACAGATGAACTGATAAAGGTCTTAGAGGATGTCCGCCTTGGATATTTGTTGGCTCGTTTCAGTTTGGATTCAACACATGAATGGTCCAGTGTTCTTTCCCTTGGAGAGCAGCAACGCCTTGCATTCGCTCGTCTTTTACTTTCAAAGCCTCAATTGGCTTTACTGGATGAATCTACAAGTGCACTTGATGAAGCCAATGAGGTATCGTTGAAATTCATGTTCACCTAACATATATGTGAATGTGATATATATCATGTAGAAGTTCTTGTTATCCACTAAATTGAGCGTACTTCCCCATTTCACGAGTTTATTATATATCCATATAATAATAATATGGACATTTGATTCAAAATGTCTTTATAAAAAATGCTCTCCCTTGAAAAAAATAAAAATTCCACACATCTATGCACCGTAATCAACATTCTCACTCATGCATGAATAAGGATGTGTATGTAATCATTAGTGTTGGAAATCCCATATCAAGTACCGATATGGTCAAAATGATATATATAATTGAGGGACAATTTTTACCATACAAACCAGAGTTGTAGGATTAAGTTAAGTCCGAATTTACATTTTCAAGATGCTATTAAAGCCTATTTCAACGATTGTTGTTGGGTCTATCAAGTCATTATCGGATTACTTGCGGATATCTGACAAATTTTCACACTCAAGGTGTCTGGTCCTTGGCATGAAGGGAGTGTATCGGAGATTGTACATCAATTAGTGATATGATCAAAATAGTTTATATAAATGGAAAATAATCTTTATCTTAGAAGTCGACCTTGTAAGATTGATTTAGTCCAAACCCACATTCTAAAAACTAGCTAGCTCCTAATAGACACACGGAGTTAGCACATCAAAGGAAATTACTCTTTGGAAAGGATCACTGCAACTAATGTCAAATGGCTTCCCATCCAAGTTCTTGTTAAGTATTGTTGCATGAACTAAACCCTTGAAACATTGTGATTCAGTTTTTAATATAATTAACTATACTTATCTAACTGGCTATATGCATATTTTGATTAGCATATTTTATATTTATAAAAGCATATAATCAAATTTCTGAATAGAGAGAGCTTTTGGCTGAAAAGTTTATTTTATATAAAAGTTCAACAAAATCTATACATACTACTAGAGTGATAACTAATGGGATCCAAAAGAATATAATGATTTGATATTGTCATTATTATGTTCCCTCTTTCATCTTGATATTGTGCTGAAGTTCATTTTTCTTGTGCTTTACCTACAGATTCATTTGTACCAACAGATTGGAGCAGCAAACATAACATATGTGAGCATTGGCCATCGCTCATCCTTATATGCTTACCACAACAGGGTTCTACGCATATCCACATTTAATACCAACAATGAACAGCTAAATTGGTGCATTGAACCCACTACACCCGAGTCCTCTTTAAACTTTACAAATCTATGAGCTTGCAATGCTTTGCTGCTTAGCATCTCCAGAGACATACTGGTTCAATTACATTGAACAATAATTTTGATGTATATGATGTCAATCTGTAGATTTTCCTTTACATATCTATAATTTTGTTAAATCTTGGTCCTCCATGAATTTTGATCTAGTGAATAGAATTGCAAGAACTTTACTGTTACCAATTACAATATAAACTAATGACCTGTAGAAAAATCTAATGTGTCTCACAAATTTTAAGAAAATAAATTTTGAGGATTAATTATAGGGCCCCCAAGTTTGCTCATGCAAGGAGGAAGTAGAAACATTCAAACATTAACTTTTACTGTTAAATAGGTTTTTAGGCTTATCTTGTTCACCAAATTACATAGCCATATGGATCTCTTAATTTAAAAAATATACAGTTTAATCTTGATCATACACCTTAATCTATAGGCTAATGACATTAAGGCTATCAAATAGTAACTAATTTTTATTTAAAATCAATTTATTATATTATTTAATTGCTTCTGGGTTTCTCTAACCAGTTAGTCCTGTTTAGGAGTTCATCCTTACCGAAATTGATGCCTAACTTCACTCACCACTTGATCAACGTTCAATTGTTGCACTGTATGGGCATTTCCACTTTCCCAAACATTGAATGTTAAAAATGTGTTTTGGAACGTCCAATTCAAACAATTTGAGATTTAAAAAATACACCATTCTGAGATGCTAAATGTTCTGGTACACCTATTTTAAAAATGTTAAAATTGTATAAAAAACATATTTCGGAATAGTCTTTCTAAAACGATGAGTCTTTCTTTCACATACGAATAGAGTATCCAAAATTTCTTTTAGGAGCAATCCAAGTTAAGTTTTAAAACTTGGAAGACTGCCAAAATATAATGTCACAAGAGAAAAAGAGAATAAATTTTAAGATTAAGACTTTATTTAGAAGAACTTATGAACAACTTATTTCTATTTATCTTATTTTATAAGTATTTATGAGAGTTTGTATAAACTTATTAAATATTTTATGAGCAGTTAATAAAATGTTTTGAATTTATTTAAATAAGTTGTCTAATATCTTATGTGAGAACACTTTATTATTCACAATTGTTCCTCTTTACTTATTTTTTATTAAATAATCTGAATAATTTTTTTTTTCAGATTGTTGAAATAAAAATGAATAAAAAAAATATTATTAAGAAATATCTAAATTTGAATTTTGTCATTCACATAAATAATTTTTTTTTCATTATTTCACTATAAATCAATTATATGTTTTTTCATTACTTTTTCAAAAAGTTATTGTCTCTCCTTCAAAAGTTTTTTTTTTCATTTCTCTTCTCCATCTTTTTATTTCTTTCTTCAAAATTCACATTCCTCTATTATTTTAAAAAAAAAAAATCAAAAAAAAAACTTGTAACTTTTTTCTCCCTGTAAAATAGTACATTTGGAACAATTTTGTTGTTCATATTTATAAAATAATTTTTCTAACATAATTTTATAAAATATACAGAATTGACTTTTATATTTTTATTTGAATTAAATATGTTTTTAATCTATGTAAAATTAGGAGTTTTGATTTTGACCCTTGTAAATTTTTTTTTATTTTTCATCCTTCTAAAATTTGTAAACATTGTTTTTGGACCTCATAAAATAAATAAAATTTGGTTTGATCATTATAAAATATTTTCCTTTGATTTTCATCCCTCTAAAATTCAGAGTTAGTATTTTGTTTTGTCCCTAACGAATATTTAATGGTAGATGAATAACAATTATTTTAAGAATCTAAATGAATTTTAAAAGTGTAAATACTAACTGTACTATCTGTACCGCTATGCCGAGCTCGAGCTCGGCATCACAGCGCGGAGTGACCTCGGACACGCGCTAGGTGACATCGGCTCGCTATCCAATTAGGTCATAAACTGATCTCGGGCCCAAGGCCCAACAAATTACCCTAATACACACAAAGGTACGTGCATTACTTATACGAGACTCATATTCACACAAACGCTAACTTTAGCATCGGAGTCTCTTTTGTAGGTACCATCCCCATCTTGGAGCACCAGCGTACCCGTGAAGGAGGTTCATCGATCTTACCTGGCGGATCAGCTCTACAGCAGATTTTCGGTAAGAACATTTAGCGCCCACCGTGGGGCCGATCAAGACAGCTCTTATCAGTCACTCTTATGGTTTCTACCAAAAGTCATAGCAGACGCGCAATAGACGACCTAGATCACGCAACTACCATGGACAACGAAGCAGCATTGAGAAGCAGACCTAGCGGCGTATCCGCGCTCAGCTACCACACAGCGCACCTCTGATCAACCCCCTCAACCGAGTCACCTAAACGAGGAAGAGGGGCACTCAGTTTCTCAACCGCCAATAGCGCATAGGACACCGACTCCAAAGCCTTCCACGCATCGATCTCATGCACCGACACACAAATCGGCCCATGAGGTCAGCAATGCTCCTACTCATGTCGCGAGGGATCAACCAACCTTCCGCTGTCATCCTTTTGTGGATGGCATTATGGAGACGCCACTCCCTCTCGGATGGAAGCCTCTCCACCTCGACCGCTACGACGGCACGACAGACCCAGACGAGCACATCAACCTGTACACCACACAGGTAAACCTCTACACCAACAACGATGCTATCTTGTGTAGGGTTTTTGCGACCTCACTTAAGGGGGCCGCGCTCAACTGGTACACGCAACTACCTGCTCAATCCATCGACAGCTTCAATACCCTAGTCAAGAGGTTCACCGCGCAATATGCGACGAGCCGACCTCACCATGTCACCTCAGCCGCCCTGGCCAGTCTCAGGCAAAGTGACGATGAGCCACTCCGGACGTTCATGGAACGATTCAATTATAGTTGTGTAATTTTAGTCTTTTAAGTTTTAATTAAATGATTTTGTCCTTATCACCACTAGTGAAAAAAACACTTTTAAAATCGGTCATTTTTTACTTTTAAAATCAGTTCTCTGACCGATTTTAAAAGAGCCGATTTTAAAAAGTGGGACTTGATGTTAAAAGTGAGACTTTTAAAGTTGGTCAACAGTGATCGATTTTAAAAGTCCCACTTTTAACATCGGTCAACAGTGACCGATGTTAAAAGTGGGACTTTTAAAATCGGTCAATAATATCATACAAATATATAAACATATGTATGTACTCCAAGTGCCCAACATGAAAAATGTCATACATGCAATATTTTAAAAACTAAATCAATTATCAAAATATTGAGTTAATGAGCTAAATGACGTATCAGCGAATCACTAATTGAATTACATGACTCAATTATTATTATTATTTAAAAAAAATATTATTTTATATATATTTTATACTTATAAATCATTCCAAAAAAAAATTATTGTCAATATAATATTGATAGAATAATTAAATTATTGGTTGATTAAATTATGTAAATTAATATATAATTTTAAATTAAAATATATGTTATATAAATTAAGTAAATTGAATAATCAAACACTAGTGAAAAAAACACTTTTAAAATCGGTCATTTTTTACTTTTAAAATCAGTTCTCTGACCGATTTTAAAAGAGCCGATTTTAAAAAGTGGGACTTGATGTTAAAAGTGAGACTTTTAAAGTTGGTCAACAGTGATCGATTTTAAAAGTCCCACTTTTAACATCGGTCAACAGTGACCGATGTTAAAAGTGGGACTTTTAAAATCGGTCAATGCATGACCGGTTAAAAGTCTACAATTTGAAATTGAAGGTGGCGGGACAACACAAGTCAGATCGAAAGGAAAGGGAAGACATGGAAATGGAACAACTGAAGCAACAAATTCTCACTGTTCCCCCAATTCCTCTCACGTCAGCGCTTCCCTTATCTCATTCCTTGTTTTCCTTTTCCTTTTCTATGTTCACTCACTTTTCACATCAAATCAAACTCTTTCTTTTCCTCTCAGTTCGCCTCTTCAACCGCCGCAGCTCCAACACCGTTCTGCTCACTAGCCTCACCTTCTCTTCTACCAAGTAACCCATCCTTCCCTTCTCTTTCTGCAATTCAATTAATTGTTATGTTTAATTCTTCTACTTTTCTAGCTTAGGGATGGCTCTTCTCACGAGGCTACCATTACGTCCATGGAACCCAACCATGACACCTTCCTTCTCCATTCCGAGTAAACTCAGGTTCCGTTGCTTATTCTCTGCAACAAAACGGACAAAGTCATTGCTCATTCCAAGGAGTTCATTTCTAGACAGATGGCGAAGGAAATGTATTGCCTCATAATTATCTCTGCTTCTTTCATTGTTCGTTGGTTACTTTGTTATTGCATATTATTGTTGGCAATTGATGGATTATCTGGGGGTGAGCCTAGGTGTTATGGTGAGGTTGTTTGCATTGTTACCTGTGGTCATGGCCTCATGGGTTCTGGCAATGCTCACAACCTATCCTCTCAGTAGCTTAAAGTTCAGTTCTCTGACCGATTTTAAAAGAGCCGATTTTAAAAAGTGGGACTTGATGTTAAAAGTGAGACTTTTAAAATCGGTCAATGCATGACCGGTTAAAAGTCTCACTTTTAACATCGGTCATGGCATGACCGATTTTAAAAGTGGTTAATTTTTTTTTAAATATTTGACTTATTTTAGGAGGATCCTTGAACAAAACCTGCAAATTAATAAAATACCAGACAATTCATATATTTTTAAAAGACCAAATTACATACAAATGACAAGAGTTGGTAAATCTCAACCATATATTTAATCAACTGGCGGATCAGCTCTACAGTAGATTTCTGGTAAGAACACTAACATAATATCACTAACAATCCTATATAACATCTAGGATGTTCACTTAATATTTTAGTAAACAAAAGGTGTTCAAAACAAATGATCATAAAAAAAGGAACTAAAAACAATAGTTTCAATTTTAGACGAATGGAAGAAAAAAATTATACAGGAACTAAATTCAAAACAAGCTAATTTTACATGGTCTAAACATTTTAAAGCTTTTTTACTTTATTTTTGTCAAAAATTTATAATTTATAATTTTAAATAAAATATCATCTTATAAGTGCTTAAATAATGATACATCAAAAACACTTTAAAATTGTTTAAGTATTTGTTAACATGTATATCAAAATGTAATAACTTATTAAATTTTAAGCAATTATAACATAAGTTCTTTTTATAAAAGAACTTATTAAAGAACATCTTACATAAAATGTTTCTCCAAACAAATCCTAAATTAGTAATGTACTTTAAAAATTAAACATAAAAATCAATGTATTATTATCACAAGAACTTCAAAATATAGACGAATGATTTTTATTATTAGCTCAATTGATAAAAAAAAAAATTAATAGTGATCTGCATATTTTCAACATGTTTAATGTTGATCCAAGAAATTTAATCATTGATTAAAAAATGAAGAAAGGTAAAGATTTCTCTTTGAATGAATTATTAATTAGAAAGGAAAAATCATTGATTAATTTAACATAAAAATTCATATGGCATGGATTACAAAGCAAGAAAAACGTGAGTCAGTGCAGGAAAATATACAATCATAATTTTAGAGGTGGGGTGGATGAACCAGATCCTCAAGCCGGCTTAAATCTGAATAACTATAACAAAAAATTTTTTTAGATCTTATAATTATGTTTAATTATCTAGCTTAGTCCGTAAAGTATGTGAATTTGTCGGACTTAATTTGCGGACTTTATTAATTAATTATTATTATTAATTATGTATTTAGATTTTAAAATTATTAAGATATTAAAATGTTGGTGTGTATTTATCTTTTGAATTATTTTTAAAATATTTTGATATTTTTATTGTTGAGAACTTGAGATTATTATATAAATATTGGTAATATTTTTAGTCTTAAGACTTTAATATTTAATGTTTAAGATCATCCTAAATATTGATACATAGGTTTTAGCTTTAAAAATATCATGTAATTTTATGTATTATTAATTATTTAAAATATCTTTTTCAAATTATTATTTGAACCTATTAATTGGTTCATTATTAGGGATGATAACGGGACAGGTCGAGTACGAATTTCATGATACCCGTCTTCGTTCATGCGAGTCAAACTCATCCCGTCCTCGTACTTGTACCCGTAGGATATATAATTTTCATCCTTACTCCCGTCTCTGTTGGGTATCGAGTATACATGTACTTGTACCCGTACCCATCAAATATAAACTTAAAAAAGATATTTATTTTGCAGGCTGAACTTATACAACTCATTTAAAATACGAATTTTATGATTTAGACCTTATTTCGAGTCACATTTAAATACGAACTTTGTGATTTAGACCTTATTCGAGTCAGATTGGTTTGTATACCTCTACACAATTTAAAGAAAAAAAAATCAAATTCATTATATAATGGTAAATTGAATTTGTTTGACTATGTTAAGTTGAAATATTTTGTATAAACACGAAACAAAATTTAATCCAAGGAATAAAAATGTTCTATACAATTGAATATGTGATATGCAATTGTTTAATCTTGTTGCTTTGCTTTTACAATGTATGATTGACCATAATGATGATAAAATTATGCGATTGAATGATTTTGGTTTACAGATCTGATACCAGAACACCAACTCTCTTCTCAAAGTAGTTATTTTTATTTTGTCCCACTCACTTACTCAATCACGTGATAAATAATTAAATATCAATGGGGAATTGTTTTTTCAAATAAAAAATATTATGACATTCTATTTTCAGTCAATTATTACATGACATTCAAATCATCAAGGTTCAATGTATGAATATCTTGCATTATTCATGATGATCAGATTCACGACTACACTTTTTGTTTGGAATCCTTCAGCAAAGTCTAAAAAGTCAGAGTAGTAGTGGCTCAGTTAGAGACCTAGTGATGTGGGAACTCAGATGGGGTCCAATGAATTTAAGGAAAACAGATTTTGGAATTTGTACAATCCAATAGCAGTATGGACCTTCTATTTCCCATGTAGAATCAGCTTTATTATTATTTGCCAATTATTTAGACAAAAGGTGTTGTAATTCAAGAGAGACATGTTTATCTATATTCCAAAAGGCGAATTTATTTTACCATTTTGTACATAAAAATGTGCAATGTCTTCATTCCTCATTTTTTTTTTAAACACTTAATTTAGTCTCTTATAATAATTAATAGTTTCAATTTCGTCCTTCTATAATTTTTTGTTTCAATTTGGTCCCAATAATTTAAAAAATATCAATGTGAAACTTTCCGTCCAAATTTCACAAACGGTGTTAAATGTGATGACGTGGATGTCACGTAGATGTATAGGTGGCATGCCTCCTCACCCCCTTCTTTAATGATCTGGAACGACCCGTTCTGAAACCAGAATGGTCCGTTCCACTTGCATTCTTTGTGTGTTAACTTTGCATTTGGAACGGGCTGTTCCAGATGCAAAATTAACACATAAAGAATGCAAGCGAAACAGGTCGTTCTGGTTTCAGAACGACTCGTTCCAGATCCAAGGATTGTTGTTGATTTCTTAGTTCTCTCCATATTGAAATTTTGACCAGGGCAAATTGTGAACCAGGATTGATTTTCTTTACATTTTTTAATACAGAGTATCGTCTCAATTTGGAGGAATTCAATGGTATCTTTGGATTTCAAACCATAGGGGAAAAAAACACAAGATCATTTAATCCATACATGTTTTGGGGATTGTAACAGGTCATACACAATGGTAGGCTGGTAAATGCAATTCATTTACATTTCGTCACTCTGCCATTAGAATTATGCATAAGTTTATTGCATTTACTGTTCTAGGTCGTGACGGCTCAGACAGTAAAGTACGCATAACTAATTTATTATTTATATGGCAATGATGAAAAATAGGGATAAGAAGATCAATTCTGGTGCATATTTTAATATTTGAATTTATGTTATGTTATAAATTTTTGTTTTCAATCTTTGAATCACATTGTTGCATTTTGTTAAAATGTAACACTTAAATTTAAAAATCAGTCATTGCTCCTTTAATGTAACACTTAAACATAAATATAAATATAAATCCTGGTTGACGTTCTAGAACGCCCATTCTGATGCACTCGTTGTGTGTTACATTTGCATCTGGAACGGCCCGTTTCAAATACAAAATTAACACATAACGAGTGGGATCAGAACGGGCCGTTCTGGTTTCAAAACGGTCCATTCCAGGTGCATTAAAGAAAGAGTATGGGACCTTGCCACCTATATATCTACGTGGCATCCACGTCATCTACATTTAACAATGTTTGTGAAATTTGGACAGAAAATCCTACATTGACATTTTTTAAATTATTGGGGACCAAATTAAAATAAAAAATTATAAAAGGATAAAATTGAAATTATTAATTATTATAAAGGACCAAATTAGATATTTTGCCTTTTTTTTAATAAGCCTCTAGAACCTTAAATTACACGTTTTGATAAGGGATTGAAATTCATGCATTCAAAACAGCTTGAATAAAAAAAATATATAAAAAAAACTTAGTTACAGCTATTTAGGTTTAATGGATAACGTTATCTAATAAAAACTAAAATTTTACATCGATAATATGAAAACGCATATTAATGAAATATACAATAAATATAGATATATATTATTAAAATAAAATTTTAATTTAAATTAAAGAACATCAACTATACTTCAAATATTGAACATAAATTATCTTAAATAATTAATTTTATATGAAAAATCAAAATTTTTTAAAGTCTACTTAATCTTACTTCGTTCAATAATTCATGTTCTACATCAAATTTCAAGAATCAACCATTGAATTTAAAGTTCTTAATGTATAAATCAAGTTTACAAATTTTTTATAAATTTAAAAATTATTAATACTTCATTTTATTAATTCAAATTGACAGATAATCATAAAATTATTTTATACATTAATTTGAATTAATAAAACAAAATATCAAATAATTTTTAAAATTTTTAAAATTTAAAGATTTGTTTAATGTATTAAGAACTTTAAATTCAACAATTAAATTGTTAAAAGATAATATAAAACAAGCTATTAATTAGAATAAATCTAGACAAACTTACTTCTGAAATAGACATATCTCTCTTATTTTATACATATATATATATATATATATATATATATATCCATCCATCCATCCATCCATCCATCCATCCATCCATCCATCCATCCATCCATCCATCCATCCATCCATCCATCTATTGAGTCTTGTAAAGAGACATCTTATTTGTTTTAACCCACTTACTCTCTTGAATGGATCCGAGTAGAATCACTAAAATCAATCTAATAATAGAATTGAGATAATCTGTACAAAATCTTAAATTTGAACCTTATAATTTAGAGAGAAAAAAAGTAGAAACCAATATTTCATTTAACTTTCGGCTAAGAGATATTGATTTACCAAAAAAATAAAAACACCACTTCCTCCGTGGTCTACAACTTCATCTGATTATTTAAATTCAAGGTAAAAAAAAAAAAAAGGGAGCAAAGCAAGTGTACCAAACAAAATTAAACTTCAATGTTCACCATAACAGAGTTTTACATTAATGGCACTAGGAAAAGAAAACACTCGATTGAAAGTAATCTTACACCTTCAGCCTGTATACTAAGATAAAAAATCCTAAACATCACCTTAAAAGCCACCAAAGCCCAAATATTTGGCATGATCAAGTCAAGTTTTGGCCCACATTTGACCAAATTGTGAAACCAATGGTGGCTGCAACTGCCACACCATAGCACAACGGCACTAGGAAATATAAAAAGCTGTTAGACTCAAAATTTGTTTCATGCTTGAGACAAGTCCCTAACTAAGACCTATCCACTCACTAACTGTACAAGCAACCGAGGACAAGAATGCCCTTGGATATAGTTATACCACCATTATTAGAATGCACCAAACACTGATATGATGACTAATAACTACCATCCACATACACACCATTGCCATTGGTATATACATCATTTAAGGAGCCATTGGTTGATTTGAAGCCATTTCCATTTTGGTGTGCTTTCAGTTTTGGTGTGTGTCCATTACACATTCCATTAGTTAACTTGGGATGACCATTAATTGCCATAACTGTCCTCTTTGGTTCACTTGCTGCTGCTATTAATCCTGTTTTGTCAATGAGGAAGTAACATTTTAGTGTATAGAATGGAATTGTTGCTCTAAGCCTACTAGAGCTAAGTAATATATGGATCTGTTTTAATGAACTTATCTAGAAGCACTTCTAGGAGAAAAATAGAAAAAAAATTCAAAATAAGCTCTTCCATAAGTTAAAACTAACTTATGTATGAGTTAAAAGTAAGATTTTATAAATGCTAATAGAAGAGAGCTCTACAAATTAGTTTATGCATAAGTTAATTTTAGATTATGGAAAAACTTATTTCATTTTTTCTTCCTATTTTATTTTTGTAGAAGTTTTTCTATAAAAATTTACTCATAGGTCCTATAAAGAAAAGTGAAACAATAGTATTTACTCATTGTTTTTAACTAATCCTTGCATCACTAGCTATACCTGACCTTACCCACATAGATTTCAAACAGGTGAGGGAATATGACAGATTAAATGAACAACCAAGATTTCAACTAAGTTTGGAACTTCCAAGTTAAACATACAGATATACAGACACAAATTTGATTCATTCTAATACTGGTGTCATAAATAGTCTAATCAATGCAGTAAATTCCAAGTACAGTTCAACCCTAATAAGGGTACATCGATAATCAACATGATAAGAAAACCAACAGAAAGCATAATGACAAATTTGAAGGACAAAAGTAAAATTTAATAGATCATTCCATAGAAAAAGGGCTAATCAATAACCATAAGATTTCATGATTGCAATGACAACATCAATAAATGAATTTGAATGAAAGGAACATAAGCTGGGAAATGACTCTGGAGAAAATTTACCTGAGAAGAGTGGAGAAGGTTTCCCTGGTCTAGACTTGAACTCAGGGTGAAACTGAACGCCAATAAAAAAAGGATGGCTAGGCAATTCAACTATCTGCACTCATGCACATAATTACCAGAATTATAATTATTAATTTTGCATACCAGTTTCATGCCATTATACAGTTTCAAGTAAAGACTCACCTCCATGCGCCTCCCAGTTTCATCCTTGCCAACAAAAGATAGACCAGCACTCTCTAGCTGTGATATCATGTCAGGATTAACCTGTACAACATAACAATCATTGTTAGTGACTATGGTTGCATACATAAAGAAAGTTTCTGCTTATGAACACCATTCACCTCATATCTATGGCGATGTCGCTCATCAACATAGCTCACATTGCCATACCTATAAAGAATTCCATATTATACGCAATATCAACATATGATGGAGATGCAGAAGTTAGCATTTTGAAATAATACATGTGATAGTGATTTTTCTTTTTTGGCTTAAAGAATATAAATATTTTCAGTTAAACAAATCCAAGTACAAAATCACATTGAGCTTGGTTCTTGATTCTTACAATTTTGCGGATTTGCAGTCAGCAACTTCAAAGTATGTTCTTCTTGAACCAAGACGCATAGTTCCTCCCATATGAGTCTTTGAGCCCTATCCACAGAATACAAATCAGCTTAACTAGGTTCTCAGAAGGAACAAATCAATTCATGCTGTACATGAGTGCAAGAAAATATACTTCTGGCATAAATATAACACAAGGGGTCTTGGCTTCAGGATCAAATTCTGTGCTAGTAGCATCACGCAGACCAAGAACAGATCGTGCAAACTCAATGACCGCAATTTGCATCCCCAAGCAAATGCCTAGAAATGGAACATTATGTTCTCGAGCATACTTAGCAGCAAGAATTTTCCCTTGTACTCCTCTATCACCAAAACCTCCTGGAACTAGAACCCCATTAGCACCCTGCAGCACAAGTACATTTACAGAAAACCAGTTAAACAATCTATCATTTAAATACATTTAAGCAAATACATACTAGTATTACAATCCGAAAATGGAAGATAGATATTAAGTCCAGATAGTAGGAAAACCATTAAAAGACTCCAAGCAGCTTTATATGCCTTAGGATCCTGCAATAGTACATTAAACAATCATCAGAAGATTGCATAAAGCAAAACCAATAAGTCAACCAACATTTGTAGAAGAACACTACATACAGCAGAAAGATCAGTAATCACCTCTTTATAAGTAACATCTTCAAGATCCCCAGCTGGAACCCAGTCCACAGTAAGTTTACGGTTTCGAGCCACAGAAGCGTGTAAAAGTGCCTTTACAAAAAAACCAAGTATATTAGCTTATGGCATATACCAGGGTTCAGTTAATATTTTAGACCAGAATATTCAATATGCCTCTTCAATTCATGTACTATGCAAGTTGAAGAGAATGCAAAAAATGTGGAAATTATGTATTTCTAATTAGTAATTTTGGAGTAAGTTACCTTCAGAACAGAAAGATATGCATCTGAAAGGCCAGTGTATTTTCCCACCATAGCAATTCTAACCTGTGAAGCACACAATAGTTGTAAGCTCAACACTTGCCATTATTCAGAGAATCCGATACATATTGATTTTTTTTCTCTAGATGATATACTCACAGGTTCATGACACCTGTCATATACTTTTGTCCTTGTAGTCCACTCCTTCAAATTAGGCTCTGCAGCAACACTGCAAATAATAAAGGCATTAGTCGAAAGACACAAATACTTTACCTTACACCTGTCACATAACTAACAATACATAATGGATTAGATTTTTATGGGGAAACGGGGGTTATACACCAAAAAAGAACGAGTTTGTCAAACCAACCCTAGCAAGTTTAATGCTTTCAGGATCGCCTCATGTGCCTTCTGGTCCTATTTGTTACAGAAAATAAATTCAAGAGAAAAAGTTTAGAGTCTTGCATGAATTAAACCACTTAAATGGAAAAGTATGCAATTCAACTTTTACAAAACAAAAGTATCAAACAAGGAATTAGCAAATTAAACTTCATAAATATGGTTCCTGCAGTCCTTTAAAACATTCACACAAAGCTTAAAATAAACTAGAATTACTTACTTTCAATAGCAAAGGAATGTGCCAAATATTTGGAACATCATGGAGAGTAAGTATGTTTGACAGCTGCATATACAGAAGTATGTTTTTAAGAATACATTCAAGGCCTTTGTGACAAGAAAAGTCAACTTTGTCAACATTAGTATCACATTACCGGCACATGACAAAATTGAGCAAGTTTTGCCTTGACATTGTCATCAAGTTCCTGATAAAAGGACAAGTCAAATATAGATTTTTTTAGTCATTGTTACAAGGAGCCAGCAGAATAATAAAAATAATAAAAAAGACAAGAAACACACCTTCGAACTGCGACAAGCAAGAAGATTAGGGGTCAAACCTAATCCTCTAAGTTGACGAACACTGTGCTGAGTTGGCTTTGTTTTCTACATATTAAAAAATACCAAATAAGTGATTATCATACAACTTGAAAGATGCAACAACAAAATTCCAATCAGTTTATTCAGGACCAATAAATTGAAACTTAAAATTTCAATTTTACACTCACTACTCGATATATTTTATTTCTATTAAAAATGTTTCAGTGATAACATGTTTAACACCATACCGGTTCACCAACAACATGGATAATAGGAACCAGGCTGACATGAACCAAACAGAAGTTGCCAGCGCCTACAGAAAGGGGAAAAAAATATTAGCAAGAATGATTTACTGAAGCACACTAATAACCAAATTGATATATAAAAATAGAGTATGAGGTTTGAAGCATGACAAAGCATTACCTACACGGTATGAAAATTGGCCAAGTGCTTCAATAAAAGGCATGGACTCAATATCCCCTGCATGAAAGAAAAGCCATTTTATCAAATGAAATCCTTTAAAATAAAGCTGACCCCACTCTTGGTTGTTGTTTTAGAATATATGAGTTCTAGAATTTTCACAGTACCGATAATATCAATATTATTTTCTCTCACTATTAGCCAAATAGAAGTCATTTTCAATTTTTAGTTTTCTACTTCTACCTAACCCATGATTTTTAAAGTTAAAATACGGAAAATTTTGAATGGATAATTGAATTATAATAATAGTACTGAAAATCAAGTTCTATCTTAGTATTGATTAAAAGTTTCCTCTGAGTATTATTTACCTATAGTTCCACCCAATTCAATAACACAAACATCAGCTGGCCCTTCTTTCCCATCAACTGGTATCTTTGCAACACGTTCTATCCACTCTTGGATAGCATCTGTAATGTGTGGAACAACCTACAAACAAAGGAAAAGCAAAATGAAATCAAGGCACCAACAACAATTACAAAAGCTTCAAAGAGGAGAAATCAGAACCAGAATGATTAAACATACCTGAACAGTCTTTCCAAGATAATCTCCTCTTCTCTCCTTCTCAATAACAGACTACAAACATTCATAATAAAAAAAACCATTAAGAAACATCAGGAACAGCTAGCTAAAAACAAAGAAGATGTTTAAAGGGAGTGTACTCACCTGGTATATTTTTCCAGTGGTGATGTTATTGTCACGGGTTAATTTGATGTCCAAGAAACGTTCATAATTTCCAAGGTCAAGGTCAACCTTCAACAAACAAAAAAGAAAGAATAAGAATAGCAATCTCAGAAAAACAATTGTTACTACCTCTTATACTACAACTGAAATCAGTGATCATACAAATGACAAATTCAGCTGTAGTTTTGAGTAAAATGAGAAAATGAATGAAAGGAAAAAGGGAAAACACAACATAAGTAGATTCACACAATGGCTTATGGCATGTCACTGAAGAGTAACAGATACAATCTCAACCTTCCCTTGAATTCCAGAAAAGAAACTAAAAATTGGCATCCAAGTGGTTGAAAAAAAATTAGTTTATTTACCTCACCACCATCATCTAAGACAAAAACCTCCCCATGCTCGAAAGGAGACATTGTTCCTGCATCAGTATTCAGGTAGGGATCTGCAAATGATAAAATAAAAAAATAAAAAAAAATAAAAATATGGAAAAAAATAGCATTGTTTTACATAAAATGACAATTAAAGAAGACAGGATTTTGATTTCTCATAAGAGGGAAGAGAAACACTGAGCACAAAATTAAACTTGCTGCTCTTTTTTATTTTCAACATAAAAGAAGACAACACAATGCAGGATGAGGATTCAAAATCCCACAAAACCAAAGAAGAAAAACATCAAAGCAGTCACTTTGTAAATCACACACGCAAAAAACAAAATCCCCTTTTTCTTAAACAAAACCATTTCCATTCAAAAGAAACTCAGCCTGTTACATCCCTTTTTCTTACGTGAGACTCCAAATTTATATTCTGTTACATCAAAAGCACAAAAATGCATTCTCTTCTAGAATTAGGGGGAGGGGTAGTGAGAGTTCAATCTAAAGAAAGAATAAGAAGAAGAAAAATACCAATCTTAATAGAGGTAACTCTAAGGCCACAGGCCTTGAGGATCAGCCCAATACTGCTGGCAGTGACTCCTTTCCCAAGTCCACTCACAACACCACCTGTCACCAACACATACTTCATTTTTCCCACCCTTAAAGTTGGACAGTGAAACTCCTCTGCTGTTTGTCCAATGCACAAAGGCAGAACAAGCCCCCTGAAATGAGCACTATGAGAAAACAAAAACCTCCAAAACACAACCTAGGAGCATAAGAACAGACACATGCAAATATAGTGCCAATAACACCACCACTCAAGTACTAGTACTTATACTGAGACCCACTAACCCCTTTTAGCCCTCTGATAAAACTATGAATGATGACAACAACAGTACAAGAAGGAAACAATGCAAGAGTGGCGGTATCTAGTAAGTGGGGTGGTTCGGATAAGATAGCTATCTGGCATATTACATTACTACTACACACATAGATATCATAAGCAAAGGAAAATGGGAAAAAATAGAAAAAGGTTGGAACTTTGAAGAACCCCACAAGGGAGAGAATAATGAGGAACCTTGTTCACAATGACGGGGTTTACAAGGTTCTTCCTTTCACTGCTTTTCTGGGAACCAACCCCCTTTTGGCCCCAAAGCCTTTCTCTTTATAGCCCCCCAACAAAGAGAGGGAAATATCCACTTGCTGCCTCTAAAAACGGCTCAATCAACCCACAAATGGGAAAAACACTTGGAGGGATTGTGTGGTTAGGATTGTTATGTGACACAAAATGGGGTTTGGACTTTGATCAAGATGAAGAAGATGCTTTTTGGGTTTGCCTCTATGTTTAACAAGCATCAAAATGTTGTATTCTACTCTCTTCTCTATCTCTCTCTCTCTTGCTCTTCTTGTTCTTGTTACAGGCGGCGGGTGAACATGGAAGATGGCTTCACCTTTCAACTTTAAAAAGAAGCATCCATGCCCCAAAAAAAAAAAAAAATTAAAAATTAAAAATTAAAAATAAAAATTGAAAATTTACTCCTCCTTTATTGGTTTGTTATTGGATTAGGTAAATAAAATAAAATAAAAATGAAAAAAAGGGAGGACTTTCATTTTTGTTTTTGACGCAATCATAAAATCAACCAAGAATTAGGAAAAGTGTGGTAGTTAGTTGCGTTGATGGGAGAAAATTTTGTCAGGTCTACCGTACTTATTATTTTGTGGACTTTGTCAATGTATTTATGCAAAATTAATACAAATTATTAATGAATTTCTTTTTTTTTATTTTTAGGTATTTAACAGAGATAATAAATGTTTCTTTTTTCAGGAATTAGTAACTTTCTCTTGACCTAACTCCTGTTAGTACCAACCATAAAAGAAATAACCTAACTATTGTTAACGTATCAAATGTTTGATTAAATTATACTTTTATTTTATTTTTTAAAATTTATCTTAATTTTTTATTTTTTAAAATATGAATTTAATTAATTTTTTTGAAATAATAATTATTTTTAATTTTGAGAGATGATTTTATATCTTTTATTGACTAATTTAAAACTTAAAATTTGTGTATTTAAATTTATCTATATAAAAATTATTTAACAGAATTAAAGTTCAAATGAAAAGTGTTAAAAATCTAATGAAAATTACATATAAATAAATATAAAAAGTAACAAAAATAATTCTAAAAATTTAACTATATAATTTTTTTTAATTGAACATTAATTAAATTTCATAATTTTTATGTAGATAAATCTAATGAGATAAATTTTAATTTTTGAATTAATTAATAAAAGATTCAAAACCATCTCTCAAAACTAAAAATAATCACTATTTTAAAAGGACTAAATAAATATAAATTTAGGAGATAAAGGAACAAAATTAAAATTTTAAAAAATAAAATACTAAAATAAAATAAAAATATATAATTTAATTTTTTCATTTTCTAGCATGTGCTTTATAATTAGGGATAACAAAGTTGGAAGCAACTTTAATTATTTTTGCTTGACTCTACTTTGGGGAGGTAAGTTTAGGGGTTTAAAAGAAGGTGAGTACTAAAACATTTTTTGTGAAGAATTTCTCCACCTTCTTTTAATTTCATTTGTTATATGTATTATATAT